AGTACAACAACAAACCTAGCGGAGGCAGTGACGCAACTAGGCGAGAGCGCGCGGCGTGCCCGCTGCACCATATGGTGCGACCTCACGCTGACCTCATGCTCACACGCCTCACGCACCTCACACGCTGCAGACACCGGTACACAACAAGGTCAGCGTACATTGACACAGAGTATACAGTAGTCTGTTAAAAAGTGAGAAAAGTTCGTATATAAAATTTTTAAGTTAGTAAAAATCACTTTAACTCCGTATATTTCCTTACAGAGTGAGAACCAAAGTCAAAGCACATCTCAGACGCAGTCTCCGAAGCAGCTCGCGACAGATGTCAACTCCAACAAGGCTGCTGACACTAAAGAGGTAAGTGATATTCGTAAGATAAATTTAATGGTCAAGAGTTCAGACCGAATTTTAGACCACTAAAGACCTAGATGGTCTTGGCACAAACTTCGAGCTTACTTGAATTGTAAAAAGGTGTGATTTTTTTTAATTTTGTAATTAAATTCTGTAGATCAATATTAAAAAAAAATGGTTTTAAGGTGTTTTTTGACAATCTTGTAGCATTTTTTTTACTACGTGTTAAAATCTTCAATGTGCGTCCAATAATTTAGAAGTCCTACATTCAATAGATGCGGGTTTCAAAATAAATTTAAACCTCATTTCCACTAGGAGAAACACACAACAAACCAATCGGAACCATCAACTTCCAATCAACCAAAGAGCGAAGCTAAACAAGAAGTCAAACAAACAAACAAACAAGCAGACAAGGAAAAGAATCAACAGCGTCGCAGTCAAAATTACAGACATAAAATGAATCAAGGTAGAAATGATTTCTACCAAAAAAACAGATACGATAATAGATTTGTCCATACTAGACATCCATACCATTATTTAGCTACAGGACCTATTAACTAAAAAAAAACTGCCTATTTTTCGTCAAATATAACTATTATACGAATAAATGGCGAAAAATTTGTATATTAAAAAAAAAAACGGGTAAAAAAAATTGGGCATTAAAATGTTGTTTCTAGAATTGACAAAGAAATTGCAATTATATTGTAGTATTCATTTTATTTGTGCTTGAGTGTAATTGAAGATGTAATTAATTTTTAACTCAAGCATAAATGTTGTGAAACATGTTTGAACGCCAAAATTGACTTTGCTTAAGTAAGCTAACTTGCTACATTTGCCAAAATGTTATGCTCAAAGATACTCAAATAATATATATGAATGATATCTGGTAATATATGTATGAATTAAAAGCAACAAACCAAAATTCTGTTAGAAACATGTTTCTAATGAAACAAATATTTCTTGGAACATGATTTTAATGAGAAAAATTTTTTTTTGGTATCACCAAATTTTTGAAGAATATTTCAAAAAATTCATTTTACGACGAATAAAACTGAATATTATTATTTTTATTTCAGTGTTACCAGATTTCATTCATATATAAAATGCTTGCGCATAATAAAATCTTTTTGTACAAGAAATGCAAAGAATGCATTTACAAGACATCCACGGATTGAAATTATTATAGTTATTCTATTTATATGCAAATCCTGTATTTTGATATGGCAACATTCACACTTCCATATCTGAAAACGTTGTATATTCTATATCAGTGTTGCCATTTTAATAAGGTTTTGCAATGGGGTTGTTGCAATTAATATCCTCGAATAACCATATCAGTGTAATTTTATTATCTAAAAAAAAAAATTCACGTTTTTAATGAAAAAAATGCATTTAGCAATGTTTATTGAACACCTTGTATTTATTTTAATCGAGGTGTATTTATAACTAGGTAAAAAAAAAGTTAAAATTTTTCTAAATGTCTATCTGAATGTAATGTAGATTTTATAAAAGATGCATTAAAATACAGCTTGGCTGAATGTTACGGTTACGTTTTAAATAATGGAATTTCAGTTATTGGCTAGAACTTGCCAAATTGTTTTCGTTGTGAACGAAATGCGTACAACTCTTATTTTAAACAATATGAATGAAATGAATTTTTTATATATATATTATATATATAAAAAAAAGGGAAAACATTATAAACAGATTTATATGTCTAGTCACAAACATTTCGTTCGCAATGATGATGAAATAGATTTTTTTAATCAAATGTGATCTTAAATATGGGTTTTCACTGACGAAATCTACAGAAACGCTGTACTTTAATAGAACAGTATTTTTAACGTCAATGGAAACTAAGGGTAACAATATTTTAATACAAGTTTCGTGCAAAAAGGTTGAATTGATAAAAATAAGATGTTTAAAACTATTAGTATTAAGTACACTATTTATTATTATGACATTTCCTATGGATTTGTATGAAATATGGGGGATTTTTTTAGTAGCTAATTTAAATTATGCTACATTTCAAAACGTATTAACCAATCGCAGTAATTGGTTTTTTTTCTCTTAACAGCCAGTTCCTTGATAGTTTTATTTTAATTAATCTTGTCTGTGTAGTCTTGTTAAAATCATTTAAATTTTTTACCTTTGCCAAAAAAAATAATACATATTTTTTGTATAGCTCGCAGTTGAAACCCACTTAATATAAACATCTAAAATTCCAAAAACCCGGTCTAAAATAGATTCCTAATGACAAAATAAGCTTTCATATGTTGAATTTTTCTCAAAATTTTACACGAATTACATAAGTCTTATATTAATTATATATATAATTCATGCATATTAACCCCACATGGAAACTTTTCCGCGGCGTTGACGCGTTGTCAACGCGTTAACGACGTTATCACCAAATAAGAACAAAATGTTCGTAATGAGAGTTGATCTTTATTAGTGATGATTACATTTGTAATTTTGTCATACACTTTAATTTTAACAGTGCGTTTCCACTGCCGATTTATACAAAAACATCTTGTCATCACTTTCTCATAAACGTGATAACAGTAATGTTTTTATACAAGTTTCGGCAATTAGAATTCATGCGTTTCCGTACACTGCACAAGTCATCGCAAATGACAGGATTAAATGTTGGTTTCTGAGACGTAAATCTCTGTACAAAACAGAGTTAATAATATGTTTTAAAAGGGAATTTTGATCTCAGAAACCTATGTTTAATCAACATTTTAAATGATCTTCCATATTAAGTTCTCTTAGGTTTAAGTAATTTCTCGATTATCCAACACTATTGACAAGGCCTTTCTTTCAATGAATTTATTAAGGCCATTATATCTTTATGCATGCATTTAAAAAAAAAACCTATGCAATGTTGTGTACAAAATTATATTTAAAAAAAAAAATAAGTTGTTGTTTTGCAATAGTTGATTTTTCTTATAGATTTTAGTTTGACCTTTTATTAAGTTTATTCTCTCTTCGACTTATCCTTTTTTTTGATACGCATTTTCATTGGAGAAAATGACGTTTGTTGTTTTGTTGTTTTTTTTTTTAATTTTGGGGTTGTATATGGGATATATATATGTATTAACTTGTATGTCATATTTTTATATATGCGACACATAGAAATTTATATATTTAGTTGAATGTCTGTGTAATGTGCTTAGAAAATTCAAAAATGAACTAAACGGGCCTAATACTTAAGTTCCCGGTGTATTATAAAGGAAAATAATATTTAATAATACATATAATTAATTTTTTACATCGAAATTATGACTTAAATTAAACCTTTCATATTAAAATCGATAAATGTATGGAACATCACTAAACAAAAACAATTCGATTAAAAAATGGGAACTTTGAAGTTTGTCAAAATTTAATCCTTCCTACAACTTTTTGATAAAACAGGGGAGGGGATAATAAAAGTGAATTCATCTGAGAGCCTAGGACGAAAATGTGCGAGGTAGTATTCATAGTCATTGACAAAATTTGTATTCGATATGTAGTTGTTACGAGAATGGATATCGTAAATATTCATAATAGACCCTTAGGTGACAGGCTTGTTTAAGTTATAATTTCGATGTAAACTTGCTTCAAGTTATAGTAACTTAATTAAGTTACCGCATTCATTAAGCATACTTATCCCACTGACTAAAACCAACCCCCATAATATAAATGCTTCCATTAAAAAAATGAAAATGGTTTTCAGTACAATCAATTCGCACTTAGTTTTAAATATTAGGGTAGTTGATTTTTTTAATTCTTCAATGTTTGGTAGCACAATATATTTAGTTTGTTACCGTGGGTCTCTGAGATCAAAATCCTCGTTTAAAACGTATTAAAGACCGGCATGAAAATGTGTTTTGGTCTCTGAAACCTACGATTAGTGTAATTATTTAGTAGTTAGTTAATTGTTTATTGTTTCTCATTTTCATATATAAATGCGGTGTTAAATGTTGCTATATCTTCTATCCTGTGTTGCCATAATTAGGAACTGTTTACCTCATTCGCGAAGGGAACTGAAAATTAAATAAATTTGTTCTAACAACGCGATAACTTAAATCTGTTTAATAAATTTCACGCAATGTTTATATGAAATCGAAAATAAGATAAATAAAATCATCGACTATACTAAAGATTTTAATATAAAATATTCAAATGTTGAAAGTTTATAAACCTCGCATTTAATTCGTAAACCTTACAAAAATAGTTTCTTAAACTAATTTATATTGTTAACTATTTATAATCTATATTTTATACAATTTCACATAATTTTATTTCAAGCTCTACACTATTTCAATTACATGAAAATATGAGGTTCGTTGCTAGTGTAGTGAAAGTTGGTTTATAAACTTAATGCTTGGTTTACGTTATGCCAGTATACTAGGACAGTAGCGCTTAAAATCAGCGCTTGGTACAAAACTGGCATAATATAAACACTAACTGGCGCCAGTGAGCTAGTATGCCAGGCCAGCGGTAATATCCTACTGTATTGGTATATTATAAAAAAGGATGGGAAGTGAAAATTTATTTGACAGAGGGGACGCATGTGAACGGGTAATATCTTTATATGGGTTCTCTCCGTCGATTAAAGATAGGCAACGCATCTGCAATTGCAGATGTATATTGCCAACGGTTGCTTCGCTATTTTGGCGAATTGAAATGGTACGTTTGCTATTTTTTTTGGTTTAAAAACTATTCAATTTTGTATTGGAGTTTACTGTATTGATTTCGGTAGCTGTAATTAATGAAATATGTCTTATGAATTAACCTTTAGTATAGTTGATGATATTTTGTTGTTAAAAAATCAATTATTTAGTTTTTTTTAAAACAGATGAATTATATTTTTTATTGTTAACTCAAAAAGGTGGCTATGAACTGAAAATGCTTGCAATATTCTTTACGATTATATTTAGTTTACGAAGCCACAACTAGCTTCATTTAAATTAGATTTCTTTGCCTTTTATATTACGTAAGGGGTGTTGCTTTAAATCTATAAGGGTGTGAGCTTAGTAGGAAATATTTTTTAATAATGAAAATGTTTAAAAAATGATATTCGAGTATTTAGCCAAATTGTGTTCTTTTATTTATTATAGAAAATATTGACATAAGTTGATGTTATAAACACTTGAACAATTCTAAGGCCTATAACTTTGTTGTTAACCTGAGTAAGGTCAGTCTTTCCATATATTTTTTTTTATTTTGACTAAGGGTAATAAATATGAGGCGACCCTTAAGTCATAATTTCATGTTTTTTTTTTATAAAGATTTTAAAAAGGTTGATGGCTGTGAAAATTGGAGTATACTTAGTGTAAGGGAAAAGCAACGCCCCTGAGACAGATTCCAACAAAACGCCCGAATTTGTGTTAGCTCAAAAAAAAGTTCCTTCCGTCCATACAATATTGGAATTTTCGCATAGAATAAGCCTACCCTTTAGCGCAGCTGTGTCTGAATTTTGTATTTGATGTCAAAGTCGTCAGTTATAGGGCTTTTTTGCTATATATTTTTTTTATTATAAAAGCTCAAACTTCAACCAGTTTACTTACTATATTTTCTTAATAGATTTAATATTTAATAGATGGTAACACTAAATAGTCTTTGACATCAAATGCCAAAG